AAAGAGTAGATTTTCAACAAATGGTGCTTAGAAAAATGAAGCAAAAGAATGAAGTTTGACTCTTACTATACACCATATAGAAAAATCAATTCAAAAAAAAACTAAACTAAACTAAAACTATTAAGCTCTTAGAAAGAAACAAGGAGGACAAGCTTCATGATGTTAAATTTGGCAATGATTTCTTGGATGTGACACCAAAAGCATAGGCAACAAAAGAAAAAACAGATAAAATGAACAGCATCAAAATTAAAAACTTTTGTATATTAAAGAACACTATCAATAGAGTGAAAAGGCCACCCAACCCACAGGATGTAATAAAACATCTGCAAATCATACATCTGGTAAGGGATTAATATCTAAAATATATAATGCACTCTAAAAACTAATAACAAAAATTCTAACCCAATTCAAAAATGGGCAAAGGACTTAAATGACATTTCTCTAAAGCAGATATATAAATAGTGAATGAGTGCATGAAAAGATGCTCTACACATCACTGATCAAGGGGGAAATGCAAATAAAAACCACAATGAGATACTACTTCACATATTTTACTCACCATATGTATGAGGATTGTTATTACAAACAAAAACAAAAACAAAAACCCAGAAAACAACACAGTGTCAAATAGGGAGAGAAATTAGAATATTTGTGCATTGCTGGTGGGAATGTAAAATGGGCAGGCATTGTGGCAGACAGTATGATTGTTCGTCAAAAAACTAAACACATAATGACCAAAGAACCCTGTGATTCTATGCCTAACTATGCACCTCCAAAATTGAAAACGGGGACTCAAACAGATCCTTGAATGGCAAAACTCAGAGAAGCATACTGAAAATAGTGAAAAAGGTGGCTAAAACACAAGTGTTTACCAACAGATACATGGATGAACAACATGGGGTATATACAAACAGTGGAATATTTTCAGCCATAAAAAGAAATAAAGTTCAGGTACAAGCTATTCAAAGATGGATGAATGTTGAAAACATTAGGCTATATAAAGTAAGCCAGACAAAAAAGGACAAATGTAAAATTCCACTTATATGAGTTACCTAGGATACTCAAATTCATAAAAATAGCAATTAGAATAAGGATGACCGGTGCAGGGAGGAGGGGTATGAATGGGGAGTGACTGTTTAATGGGTATAAAATTTCAGCTTGGGAAGATAAAAAGTTTTGGAGGTAGATAGTAGTGATGGTTATACAAGAATGTGAATGTACTTAATGTCACTGAATTGTACAATTAGAATGGTTAAAATGGTAAAAAATTAAATAAAAGTTGATCTGGAAAAATTAATTTGAGAGTAGCCTGAACACTTCTGAATAGGAAATGTTCTGCCAGATATTAAAACATATAGTACTTTATTCAAAAAAACGATTGGATGCTGGCACAGGACTAGACAGTCAAGGGAACAAAAAGAGACTAGAACACCTATGAATTAATGCATGATACAACAGTTGGAGAGAAGACCAGAAATGGTGCTACTTAACCAACAGGATGGGAATGGGTGGAGCGGAAAAGAACCCAATCTCATTCCATATACTATAATGAATTTCAGATATATCAACAATTAAATGCAAAGAATGCAATCAGAACACATAGTTGAAATGTTTATATAATTTGAGCATGAGAAAACTTAAAGCTTTTATAAGAAAGACAATTCTTACCACCATTAGGAAAAATATTGATATATCCAATTACCTATTAATGTAAACCTTCTGCATACATCAATGACCACTGATAGGAAAATAGTTTAATAAAATATGATATATATATTAAAGTTATCATTAAAAGAGATGAAAATAAACCTAAATACACCACCAATCTAAGGTAGTAAGGGTAAAATATGAAAGCGTTAGAAAAATATAAACAGCATGATGCCATTTCTGGTTAAGAAAAAAGAAAAAATGCCAAGATATGTATAACTACATATATAAAGATACTGATATACAGTAATAGACAAAAAGACAGCTAAACTATTAACAGTGATTAACTCAGATAATGGACTAGAGAAAGAGTAGGAGAACTAATTTTTACTCTGTATACTTTTGTAATATATGAAAATTTACAAAAATACGTTTGTATTTGACCCCTTCCCCCTATCTACCTTTGCCTCTTCCCCCTTTTCCTCTAGTAACCACTAAACTGCTGTCTGTGTCTCTAAGTTTTGGTTTGTGTGTCTTATTAGTTTGTTGCTTTCAATTTCACACATAAGTGAAATCATATGGTTCTCAACTTTTTATGTCTGACTTATTTTGCTAAGCACGATAATTTCAGATCCATTCATGTCACAAATGGCAGTATTTCATCTTTTCTTATGGCTGAGTAATACACCATTGCACATAAACAAGCTCACTACCTTTTAAAAGGACTTTTTTTTTATAATAAGCTTTCACAATCAACAAAAATAACATTTTAGAAACCTAACAGAAAAATGAGCAAAGGACATGAATAAATAAATGTAAACAAAAAAGTTCAGCCTGATTAATAATTAAATAAATGCAAATTAAAAGAAGACATGACTTTTTACCTATGGCCTTATAAAGTTCTTAACAATATAAGTAGAATTAAAAGTTATTGAACCTGGATATCTTGAAACTGGAGGTTTGGTTGAACGAGTAGGCTTTAAACCTAGAAAAATAAATTTGATTCCATTCACCAGCCTTATTGATAAAAATTATGAATTTGATTTTTTATTTCATAGGAAGATTATTCCTCAAAATAAAAAATATGCATACTTTATGAAATTTGCATTTCTACTTCTGAGAATATAACCTAAACATATATTTACACAGGTACATAAATGTTCATTATAATTTTATATTCTATACTATAAATACCAGAAGTTAATAACAAATCATAAAAATGTGTTTAGAGTAAATATATTTTAAAAAAATACCATCCAGATAGTATCATACCACATAATTTGTATACTTTCCTTTTCCATTTTATATTTCATGAACACTTTTTCATACTAGCATCATGAGATCTACTTTTTCATACCACATAATTTGTATACTTTCCTTTTACATTTTATATTTCATGAACACTTTTTCATATTAGCATCATCAGGTCTACTTTTTCACCATTATATATTATTGATCCCTTCCATATAGTTTTTCTCCGATGATAAAAAAAATTAATAATTCCATGAGTTTTGATTTTTTGTCTTTAAAAAAGATCCCCATCATTTCTCCTCTTTATGAGCTTTTTCTCACAATCAATTCTCTTCTTTGAAACACTAAACTGTCTCAGTGTTTATAAATCCTTAATTAATTCTTGTGGTCAATTCTTTCAACAGAGCCTATCAACAAATATAGTATCCCATAGTGCGCTAGGACTATGTGAGTAAATGTGGATGAGTTGATGAGAATAAATTGCACATGCAATCTTAATTTCTCAGTCCACCAAAAAACCATCTCTTTTACCACCCCCTTCTCACCCCCAAACCTCACAGCACTCAACTAATGTATTCAGGGAGGCTACCAGGTACCAGATATACAGGAATTATTATAAAAAGGTGTTCGAATTATTGTATTAACATGCATAATTCCCCTCAATCCTTTAAAATATTAGGACAACAGGAAATATACAAATAAATTAGAAGCCAGGAATTGAGATGTATTTGAGTTCAACACCTTTATTAATCAGAAAACCAAAGCCCACAGTAAGCAGAGCAAAACTAGGACCCTGAGCAAGGTCAGGCCAGGCTAATGTTCTCCCCACTATTCTTCTTGTCTCTGGTTTCTGCTTAAACCAAAGAGAAGCCAGAGATAGCAGCACTGAAATCAGAAGGCAATTCCTTCCACCATATCAAAATAATCTCTCTAGTCTTAAGGAGAGCATTAAAGAGCATTAAAGCAGAGCATAAAATACTCCATTTTATTTTAATAAATGAAGACTGTTCGTGCCTTTCAGTTGCTATGAAATTTAGTTTCTATTTCAAATGGACATGCTCAGTAAGGGAAAAAGAATAATTGTATGAGGTGGGGAAGGGTGGGGGTAGTAGAAATACAAGTCTTATTATGGAAGACAGCAGAAATTTCCCAGTTCAAATTGTGCTATATAAAAAGAGCTAAACTGGTTGCAGTCCGGAAAATGAAACATAGCCCTGAACCAGAAAGAAACTTTCAATGTGTCAACAGATTATTTTTAAAATAAATTAAAATAAAAAAGTCGATGTCACAAAAAAATACATATTAGAAAACAAATGCTCTTTACTAATGTCAATTGGAGTAATACTATAAGTCATATATGAGCTTCCTTTAAGAGCTTCCTATATGCCAGGTATTGTGCTAAGTGCTTCAAGTGCAACTAATTTAAGCTTTATATCACCCAGCAAGGAAAGCATTAAATCATTTTACATATAAGTAAATACATCTGAAGTTTAAGTAACTTGCCCAGGTTTACATAGCTATTTATATCTGCAGACTATGGCAAATAATTTTAGAATCACTAACAATGAAAATGGCTGCAAATATGTTCTTTCACCTTCTCTTACTAAAAGTAATGAATGAATATAAATACATGAATTTAAAGAATTTCTGTAAAATGTATGCAAGAAGTTATTAAATTTGAATGACTCAAAATAAGAGGTTTTATATTAAGAAGGACTGACATTGAAAAACATAATAATGTAGGATCAATCACTTGGGAATTATCACTTTCTTTTCATTTATATGAATTATGGCTTTAATTCTTCAATTATTTAGTAAAAGTTCCAGTGATTCAATTTATTGTGAAAAATGGTTGCTATCCATTTTTATACATAAAAATACCAAATAAGAAAAATTTATATACCTGTGTGATGTACATAATGTGCTAAGAACCCTATGAAAACATACAAAATCAAAACAGCATAATTCTATGTGAATTTTATGTCATACATCTGTCATGGATAGGAATACAGGACAGAATTAATTACTAAAATCGCCTCTTTTCAGTTATTCTGTATCACTGATATTTAATGTCAAAAATAAACTCTTAAAAAAAAAACCAAGACAGAAAATGATAAAATTTGTACCTTTAATACATGTTGGCATCTCAGGCTCCCAAGTACTGTTTTCACCACAGAACACTGGGTTGCTGCCATGAAGGTAGAAACCTTTCAGGCATTCAAATAAAACCACAGCTTGGTAATAAAATTTTTCTTTAATTCCTGATACCAGTCTTCCATTCTCGAGTACTGGATATTCACATTTGACCACTGAGAAATAGAGAAATTCCAAAAATAATAGAAAGTTGCTTTAATAAAGTATGGGAAAAAATAGTGCAAAGCATTGATTTCTGTGGAAAGAGAGAAGGAATGAAAGACAAGATGTTAACTAAAAAAAAAAAGACTATTTGTGCATTTTAATTCCAGGTAAACAGATTTAGAGAAATCTAGTAAAGTTTTTACACCTAGAACAAACTTTCATTATAGTTTATTGGTTTCCTATATATTTGTTTACTTATTTATTTCTTATTTTTAAAATGTGTATATTCTGCAAATTTTGAGAAAGGTGTGACTATCAGATACAAATTCTGGGTAAGCTCAAAGGCAACTTTTGGTACTCTATAGGTCTAGGAATTTTTTTAAATTGCATGCTGACACTGATTATAGTACCTTGCTTTTTAGAAAGGCAGGAAGACTCTTGTGAGAAGGTAATACTTGAGCTCAGATGTAAAAGCTGAAAAGGAGCTAGCCATGCAAAGATGTGCAAATAGAAAGTCCTCAGGTAGCAACAACGTATATGAACTGAGATGTTCAAGAAATAGAAAGGCTAGTGGAGTTAGGGCCATGTTTTCCAAACCTTTAGACTATAACCCACCGATCAAACATCACACTATACATTGTAAACCAGTATATAATCCTATAGGCCTGAGATAAAGATAAAAGTTAATATTTAGAATTCATCTTAGTACAATGGTATTTCTCATTCTACTCTGTTTCGCCAGAAGTAAAATGCTGGCCATGACCTTCCAGATTGACTTCAGGATCTAGTAAGGGTTTGGAAGAATTTGGAAAACAAAATACAATGGGCTGGGCAGTGATTGCAGGAGAACATCCTATGAGATTAAATCTGAGCAATAGAAAAGGGCCCATAATGTATAGCCTTTTAAACCAGAACAGTGCTCTTCCTCGTTGCCTGTGATGTGCATTTCCATCAGATATCATTTCCTTTTATCCTGAAAAACTTCCTTTAGCAATTCTTATTGTGCAGGTTGGGTAGTGACACTATACATGGTCTTAGACTATTATTGACTGTGTTCCTTATGCTGTACTTCACATCCCTGTGGCTGCTTTTTTTTTAAAAAAAATAAATTTATTGGAGTGACATTGGTTAATAAAATTATATAGGTTTCAAGTATACAATTCAATAATACATCATCTGTATATTGCATTGTGTGTCCATCATCCAATGTCATACTTCTGTCACCATATATTTGACTCCCTTTACCCTCCCTGACCCTCCTTTCCTTCTGGTAACCATTAAACTTTTGTCTGTGTCAATGAGTTTTTGTTTGTTGCTTCCAGTTTTATGTCCCACATATGATTGAAATCATATAGTTCTCAACTTTTCCTTTCTGACTCATTTTGCTTTAGCATGATAATCTCAAGATCCATCCATGTTATCGAAAATGGCAGTATTTCATCTTTTCTTATGATTGGGTAATATTCCATTGTATATATGTGCCCCATCTTTTTTATCTAATCATCAAAGGACACTTCGATCACTTCTATATCTTGGCCACCGTGAATAATGCTGCAATGAACAGCGGGGTGCATATATCAAAAGAAATCATCAACAGAATAAATAGGCGACCTTCTGAATGGGAGAAGATATTTGCAAACAATATTTGCTTCCAATAAGGGGCTAATGTTCAAAATATATAAAAAACTCATACAACTCAACAACAACAAATAAGCAAACAATCCAATTAAAAAATGGGCAGAGGACCTGAACAGACATTTCTCCCAAGAAGACATAAATGGACAATAGACATATGAAAAGATGCTCAACTTCACTAGCTATTAGGAAAATGCAGACCAAAACCACAATGAGATACCATCTCATACCTGTAAGAAAGGTTATTATTAACAAGACAATAATAAGTGTTGGAGAGGTTGTGAGGAAAAAATGAACCTTCATACACTGCTGGTGGGAATGTGAGTTGGTACAGCCACTATGGAAAACAGAATGGAGGTTCCTGAAAAAATTAAGAATAGAATTACCATATGACCCAACAATCCATCTTCTGGGTGTCCACACAGATATTTTAATATAAGAAAATATTTTTATTTTTAAGCCAGTGTGTTTTGAGTTTTTTGGTTCTTTCAAGCAAAAAAAAAAAAAAAAAAAAAAAAAAAAAATCCTAACTCATACATATACACAGTAGTTCACATTGTATAAATTAGAATGCCAGAAACATGTGAAGTTGGAGGTGGGGGATTCTACAATTAGAATTATTTTTTATTTAACTTGACATATATTAAATTAGAAGTTAACGTAACAAGAAGAGGAAGTATATATGACTTTGTTTACTTATAGATAAACTATCTACAAAGTCTTTCCACAGTATTTACAAAGAAAGAAAGAAAGAAATGGAAATACTATTACCTTTACACTCAGGAGGGTCAGTACTCCATGTGCTGGGCCCAGAACAAATAAGCTTGCTATCTCCAACAAGTGAATATTCCTCTGGTCCATTTGAAGGGTCACAACTATAAGTTACTAATTCATTATATTCAAATATATCCCTCCAACTATTTGTGTGCTTTCCATTTTTTATTTTTCCAGGTGGTTGACAAAAAATTTCTTTAGAAGAGAAAAAAAAAGAAATGCGAGAAAAAAGGTAAAAGATTAAAACATTTAGTAAAGTCTTATGAACTGTCTTCAATAAATTCATTAACATATGACTTCTACCCATTTAGAGGAAGGTGTTTATGAGAAAATGTATTACTCCAAAGTCAAACCATGTAGAAATACACTTTCAAAACAAAAATCACTTTTTTAGATACCTATGTAAAACACCTATATTTACATAAAAGGCAATGCTAAGCTTTGTTCTAGTCATAAGAGTCACTAAAAATTTAATGACAAAATATGTTTGCGATTAAAGATAAAATTCACTGCTACCTGAGAAATGCTTTGTAATTTATAAATATATTCATTTGCTAAATCATTGGTTCACAGTAATACCAAGATATTGTCTTTTTTTCGCTTTAATACTTATGAACGTATGTTGAAAGTTTCCAGAAGCTACAAATGGTGTTATTTTGTAACAGACTGAATCCGTATGTCTTTCTTTAAGCCAGATTTTGAAGGGATTATAAAAATGTAAAACAATGCCACAATTCTATTCGTTTTGGAAATTTTGTTTTAATCTTTTTTAAATTAAATTTATTAGGGTGACATTGGTTAACGAAATTATATAGGTTTCAAGTGTACAATTCAATAATATGTCATATGTATATTGTATTGTATGTTCACCACCCAAAGTTGAATTTCCTTTTGTCACTATATATTTGACCCCTATTACCCTAATCTACCTCCCCATTCTTCGCTTTCACTTTCCCTCTAGTTACTAAATATTTGTCTCTATGAGTTTTTTTTCTTCATTTGTTGCTTTCAATTTTATTTTTCATAAAAAATATATTCTATGTGTTATCATGTATTGTTTTAAAAAATAAATTAATAAATATTTTAGAAACTTACTTTTAATTCTAACATAATGAATATTAATAAACATAACCCACATAAAGAAACCTTCTTGGGATCTTTGTTAATTTAAAAGCATAAAGGGCAAACAACAAGGGTTGGTGAGGGTGTGGAAAAAAGAGAAACTTTTTTGTGAACTGTTGTTGGGATTGTAAATTGGTGCAGCCACTATGGAAAACATTATGAAGGTGCTTCGAAATATTAAAAATAGAACTACCATACAACTCAGCAATTGTATTTGTGGATATTATCTGAAGAGAACAAAAACATTAATTTGAAAAGATATATGCACCCCTAGGTACATTGAAGCATTATTTACAACAGCCAAGGTATAGAAACAACCTAGGTGTCCATCAATAGATGAATGGATAAAGAAGATGTGAGACATATAGGTATACACACATACATACATATACAATGGAATATTACTCAGACATAAATAAGAATGAAAACTTGCCATTTGCAAAAACATAAATGGGCCTAGAGGGTATTACGCTAAGTGAAATGTCAGACAGAGAAAGCAAATACCACATGATTTCATTTATGTGTATAATCTAAGAAAAACAAACAAAGAGAAATAGACTAATAGATACAGAGAACAAACATGGTTGCCAGAACAAAGGGGCCTGGAAGGATGGGTGTAAAAGGTTAAGGGGAATATGAAATAAAACTTCCCATTATAAAATAAATAACTCACATGAATGTAATGTACAGAACAGAGAATATAGTCAATAATGGTGTAATAAATTTGTATGGTGACAGATGGTTACTTGACTTATCATGGTGATCACATTGTAAGGCACGTAAATGTTTAATCACTCTGTTGTACACCTGAAACTAATATAATATTGCATGTCAACTATACTTTAAAAAAATCCATGTGAGTCCTAAGGTCAAAAGGGCTGAGAATTGCTGGTCTAAATTCTAAAGGAAAAATTTACTTACTTTCACATTTTGGCAAATCATAGTTCCAATACACTTTGTCTCCAGAACGTTTACAAGTAAGAATTTTTTCTCCTCTTAAGTAATAACTAAATGAAAAAATAAAAGGTTACTGTTTTCTTTAACAGTTAACAAGATACACATAATAATGCCAAAAATTTTCTTTTTTTTTTTTTTTCTGTCCTACCATAATTTGAGGGGGAATTTTCTTAAAAGACATAACGTAATAAAATGCTAACTGAGTTTGGAATTTAACTACATTAACGGTTTCTGCATTTGAACACACATTGGCAAGGAAAAGATATCTAAATAAATCTGTCATGCCTGTGTCTGGCCTCTTCTGCAATATTTGGCAGTCACACACATATTAACTTTGCTTTTGCTCCTTCCATTCTGCTTAGTCACAACAATGACTGAGTAGAGACATAAGACTCTAGAGCTTGCTTGTGTGTATTCAAGTCCCAGCTCCACAACTGACTTGTTATTTGAGCTTAGCCAAGTCCTTTAATATTTCTCTTGCTCAGTTTCCTCATCTATGAAAAGGGGATAATAGTATATACCTTGTAGGATTGTTCTGAGTATTAATGAGTTAGCATCTGGCACATAGGGAGTGCTAGGTTTTAGCTCTTAATATAGGCATACCTCAGAGATATCATAGGTTCAGTTCCAGACCACCACAATAAAGTGAAAATCATAATAAATTGAATCACACAAAAATTTTTGGCTTATCAGTACATATAAAAGTTATATTTATACTACACTGTAGTCTATAAAGTGTGCAATAGCATTATGTCTAAAGAAACCATGTACATGCCTTAATCTAAAAATACTTTATTTCTAAAAATTTCTAAACATCATCTGAGCCTTCAATGAGTTGCAACATTTTTACTGGTGGAGGGTTATGCCTTGATGTTAATGAAAATGCAACATATGCAAAGTACGATAAAGCAAAGCACAATATAATGGGATACACATGTATTCTTTAGATCAGATTATCTTTCTAGGAATAGCTCAGGCATAGCATTTGATGAAAACTATTCTGATGATTTAAATTCACAGTACTCTCTTCTTTTAGACTCTCATTGTAATAATCATCAATAACTATTTGGTATTTCTTATTTACTATTGCTTTGAAAGTTCTCTGTATATATTGTGTTTGTCAATAAGGCAACTAATTCTAAGAGAAGAATCTATGTCTTAAATATTTGGTATCCTTCAATGTGCTTAAGCAGTCTCTCTAGCTGAACTATTAACTGGATGTTCCCATATTTTTACTTGATTAAGTTAAAAAACAGTGAAACCACTTGTACATGGTTCTAGTTGACTTATCCATCAATGCTCATTCACTTTTTCTATATCTATTATTTTAAGAGAATTCTGGGAAGATGGCAGAGTAGGATGCACTAAGACTGTCTCCCCAACTAGACAAAAATTGTAATGGCAGAATTTGATGTAACTATTTTGGAACTCCAAAGTCTGTTGAAGGCTTTCAGCTCCCAGGGGAAGGTTCTGACAGGTAAATGTAATTTCAATTTCAGCTCTTAGGAAAATAGCAGCTACACATCTCTGACCCTCAACAATGTTTCAGGCAGCTGTGTTATGAGTTCTTGGAACAGGCTGCAGTAGCCAGGGTGGGCAAAAATATCCTCCAAATATCAGGGATCTGTGCTCTGATTGCTGCTTCTAATCACAGAGAAGCAGACAAAGAGATGCACATGTTGCAGCATCTCCCCGCTCGCTGGCAAGTCGTTTTCTCCCCAGCTGAAGTGACTTTCAAGGGATTTAAAGATCATACACCCTTTGCTCCCCACTCTATTTTTTGCTTTTCCCCTCTCAGGAGCCAGACATTAAAAACCATTATCTTCAAAAACAATTGCATATATATGGAAAATTAGAAATTGAGTTCATGTGCTCAGGGAAAGGCTCAGGAACAAACTGAGATACTCAGTTTACATCTCAGGCTCATCTTGAGCACAAAGACAAAAAATTTAAAAAAATAAAAAATAAAATAACAAAACCCAGCAAGTTCTAAGGAAGGTGAAGAAGCTGATTTCCAGAGTTGCCAAATTTTTAAATGATCTACAAGGCATACAAAGAAAAAGGAAAGTACAACCCATTTAAAAGAAAAAAATAAAAAAAAATTGTCCCTGATAAAGACATGATGGCAGATTTCTAGACAAAGACTTCAAAATAACTATCTTAAAGAAGCTCAAAGAACTAAATGAAGAAGTGGAGAAAGTTAAGAAAATTATGTGTGAATCAAGTAGAAATATCAAAGACAGAAATTGGTAAAGAGAATACATGAAGAAATCATGGCTGACAACTTCCCAAATTTGATAAAAGACATGAATATAAACATCCAAGAAGCTCAATGACTTCCAAGTAAAATGATCTCAAAGATATCCACACTAAGACATAATACAGTTGGCCCTTTGAATCTGTGGGTTCCACATCTGTGGATTTAACCAACCAAGAATTGAAAATATTCTTAAAAAGAAAAAGTACAGACTTTTTTGTTATTATTCCCTAAACAATTCAGTGTAACAACTATTTACATAGCATTTGTCTTGTATTAGGTATTATAAGTAATTGAGACATGATTTAAAACATATGGGGAGGATGTGTGTAGGTTATATGCAAATATTATGCCATTTTATAGAAGGACTTTGGTTGGTATCTGTAAAGGGGTAGGGGAGGAATCCTGGAAACAAAATCCCATGTATACCTAGGGAGTATTATAATAAAACTTTCAAAAACCAAAGACAAAGAGAGACTCTTGAAGACAGAAAGAGAGAAGTGAATCATCACATACAAGGGATCCTCAATAAGATAATCAGATAATCAAAAACTTTGGTGGCCAGAAGTACAGACTTTGGGCTGAAATACTAAAAGTGCTAAAAGGAAAAAAAAAAAAATCTTTAAACAAAAAATCCTTTATTCGGCAAAAGTGTCTTCAAAAGTGAAGGAAAATTAAAATAGTCTTAGATAAACAAAAGCTGAAGGAGTTTGACCACTAGACCACTCCTGCAAGAAATCCTCAAGGGAGTCATCCAAGGGGAAATGAAAGGACACTAGAAAGTGACTTTTGTCATATGGAAAAATAAACATCTCATTAAAGTTAAATACATGGGCAATTATAAAAGCTCATATTATTGTAATAATAGTTTGTAACTGTAATTTTTGTTTTTGTCACAATTTAAGAGATAATATATTTAAAGAAGAAAAAACAATTATTATTGTAAAAACTAGCATTACTGTAACTGTGTTTTTGAACTCCAAATTCTGTTTTCTATATAAGCTAAAAAAAACCTAATGCTTTTAAAAGAACTATTAATTTATGCTTTGGGACACACAATTATATAAAGATGAGATTTTGTGATGGTAACAAACAAATGGGGTGAGAATGGAGCTGTGAAGAAGCTAAATTTTTGATGTTATGATGTTAAGCTAGCAAAAATTCTAATTTAGATTGACATAACTAGGATTTTAAATATAATCTTCCTACTAACCACAAGAAAAAAGCCATAGAATATACACAAAAGGAAATGAAAAAGGAGTTTAGACATTTCACTACAAAAAGACAACTAAAAAAAAGAAAACAGTAATGCAGGAAATGAGGGATTAAAAAAAAACTATAAAATATATAGAAAGCAAATAGCACAAAGACAAAAGTCCTTCCTTGTCACTAATTACTTTAAATTTAAATGACTTAAATGCTCTAATCAAAAGAAAAAGATTGGCAGAATGGATAAAAACACATGATCCTACTATATGCCGTCTACAAGAGACACACTTGAGATCCAAAGCCAAAATCAAGTTGAGATTGAATGGATGGGAAAAGATGTTTCATGTAAACAGTAACCAAAAGAGAGCAAGGGTGGCTATACTAATATCAGATAAATAGACTTAAAATAAAAAAGGTTACAAGAGACAAAGGACATTAAATATTAATAAAAGGTACATGTAACAAGAAAATATCACAGTTATAGACATTTATGCACCTAATGTCAGATCATCAAAACACATGAAGCAAAAACAGAAGTGAAGCATTTTTACAATAATAATTAGACACTTCAATACCCCAACACAATAAAGGATGTAACAACCAGTCAGAAGGTATTTAAGGAATTAGAAGACTTCCACAAAACATTTCTGTGTCCGCCCTCAACTCTGAGAATCGATTATTTTAAATAGGTGTACTTTATTATCAAAGATAAAGTCACCATGATTAGTACATTTTTGATGTTTACAATAACCTCATCATTACGTGTCTCAAGTATTATATAATATGCTTTCCTTCAATTTAAATTTCTTTCTATTAAGTACATATTTTTCAGTCTCCGTAAAAAGCCCAAGAGCTAATTGGTTAGTACAACTTGTCTCACAGGAAGCATAACAGAATAATTTTATGAGAATGCTTAAGAGTAGCAAAAAAAAATTAAATTGGTAATATTTACCTTATGTCCTCTAAGGAACAACTTACTTACCCCTCATCACAAAAAAAGTGAAATTCTTTATCGAACTGAAAGCCAATGTAAAGGGTATGATTTGGGTCTAATATTCCACCATTTGAAACTTGTGGAGTTGTACATTCTTTTCCTAAAATAGAATTTTCAAATTCATTTTTATATCAGTTTCAAAAGAGATTTAAATCAGGATCAAAATTCTACCCTGCTATTTTCAGTTCATACAATATTATTTTCTTCAGTTAACTATTAAAGGGCAAATGTAAAATTCACATTTACCCAGGCAACCAATTGCTTACAAAAAATTCCTAGATTTATTAAAGCCTAAAAGGCATTGTTCTCTAAAACTTAGTTTCACATATGACAATTATCATTGTCATAATGGAAAATGAACTCTAAAATGTGTAAAAAAAACTCACCAGAGCATGCGTACACACACACACACACACAAAGATGCACGTGCACGCGCGCGCACACACACACACACACACACACACACACACACAAGGTATTTACTTACTGGAACAACCTTCAGGGATAGGGTGCCATGAGCTATTTTCCTCACAATAGGTACTAGTGGAATGAAATAGTAACTGATAGTGCCCTGGTTTACAATAATAATATACTTTTTCCCCAGGTGAATACGAAGATTTAGGGACACCCTTTAACGTCATAGAGTCAAACTCTGGTGGTTCACCACAGGCATCTAGAGAGAAGAAAATAAGAACATAAAAATAGTATTTTAATCTCTTTGACCAGCCAGGGACTGTAGCATGGTAGCAAGTAGGTAGTACATAATATTTGGAAAGGTCTTTGGCAAGATTTTAAATAACTGTTCCAAGTGGCGGTAATACTGGAGGATGTGCTGTGCTTGTTTTAAATAACATACTATTAGCTTTTGGTTTGTTGAGGAAACATTGTTCTCGATCAGTTCCTACTTCCCATTCTTAGGAGGATTTGTGGAGGCGAGGCAACCCTTGGTTGCCTCACAAATTGCAAGGACCTTGTCAGCTTACAATCCCTTATTTTTTATTTTTTATGCCTACAGCATCTGGTCTTCCTAGGTGGTCTCCCATCCAAGTACTAACCAGGTCCGACCCTGCTTAGCTTCCAAGATTGGCTGGGATCGGGCTTGTTCAGGGTAGCATGGCCGTAGATTGAATTGAATTTTTTTCAAAAGTAAACTGAAGAGACAAAATCAAAGTTTTTGGTCTTAAAAATATATACAGGAATACATGATTCCCCACTTCTTTCTAAATTCATTTAGAAACTCACTTCCCTTCTAAGAAGTTTTCTATAGTATATAGCACTATGCTCAGGTTACTCTTTCATAGTTTGAAACAAACTTATGATCACACTTGTCACTTCAGGCTTAGTCTCCTCTCAGGAGGCAAGCTCTTAGAGGTCAGGGATCACATGCCTTCCTTTTCTACTTCACTCTGTACCCAGCAGATGTTCAAAAAGTGATACAGAAGAATGTCAGAAACATGAATGAGTGAGAGATGTCCCCAGATCTCTCCCCTTGAAACAACAGTAAGCTGAACATCTAAAACTCAACAAAAAACCCTCAACCTGCACACAAGCACATCAGAGCGAGGGATCTGTGAATAAGAGCTACCATAGGTCAGAACCCCAGGATTTGGGTGGTAGACTAGGGGAAACAAAAAAGCTTCCTCTTGCAGCCAGAGCTCCCTGTAGGAAGAGTGGGGAAGAGAGAAGGTGCGGCAGGTTCTCTGTACAGCCCTGCCTGAGAGAGCTGTGCACTCCACACAGCAGCAGTACCCAAGGATCACCGCAGAAAGCAGAGAAATGGAGAAGGTGGAGAAGCAAGTTGATATTACCAGCCAGGGTTGCAAAACGCGAGGCTGAGCAGCAGCTCCCATCTCCCAACCCAGATGGCACCTACCCCCATATCCTCCAAGACCAAACACTGCAGAAACTGTCACTAACACTGACAGGGACTGAGACTGAGGGTAATGAGTGTGATTGAATATTTATAAGGGGAAAAAAGGCATTATTAAGACTTTTTATAAAGCATGGATCCAAGAGGCTTATACACCACTTACTGGAAACCAAAAGAAAAACACCTTCTTAGCAATAGGCTAAAGAGAGACCTTTATATAATAAATCCTCTTTCTGGGAAAAAAGCAGAATATGCTTCCTTTAATGTCTATGTGGAGAAATAGTCCATTAAACACCATGAACAACCAGGGTGAAAAGGCAGCTCAGAAAGAAAGAGAAAAATCATAGAAATATGCAACTTAATGACATAGAAATATGCAACTTAAATGACAGAGAATTCAGGATGGTACTTCTGAGAAAACTCAATGAGACCCAAAATAATTCATATCAACAATTTCAGCAATCGAAAAAACAACTAGGTCAGCAGAATGAGTTTTTTAGCAAGGAGACTGAAACCCTTAAAAAGAACCAAATAGAACTTCTGAAGATAAAGAACACAGTACACTGAAAGAGGTGAAGAATGAAATAGCAAGCTTGGGAAATAGGGTTGACCAAATGGAAGAAAGAATCAGTGATATTAAAGACAGAAATCTAGAAATAAATCAGAAGGACAAAGAGAGAAACCAAAAAATAAAAAACAATGGAAGAGAAATACAAGAACTAGCTGACACCATCAGAAAAGAAAACAGAAGAACATGGGCATTCTCGAAGGAGAGGAAAAGGAGCAGGGATTACAAAACATTTTCAGACAAATAGTTGACGAGAATTCCCCTAATCTAAGGAATGAACTGGAGCTTGGAATTCAAGATGTCAACAAACAGCAAATTATCTCAACCCAAAAAGGCATTCTCCAAGACAGTATATTAAAATTATCAGAAATCAAAGACAAAGAAAGAATTTTCAGGGCAGCCAGAAAAAGAAGACGGTTACTTATTAAAAAAACCAAAAACCATTAGAGTATCATTAGATTTCTCAGCACAAACCTTACAAGCCAGAAAGGAGTGGAATCAAATGTTCAAATTATTAAATGAAAGGAACTACCAGCCAAGCATAATATATACAGCATACTTTTCCTTTAGATATGAAGGAGAAATAAAGACCTTTCCAGACATACAAAAATTGAGGGAATTCTTTACTACGAAGCCTGAAATACTGAAAGGGATCAGCTCACCTGAAACAAAATGACAAAATAATACATAACTATGAGTAAGCTGCTTCTCAGGCAGACAGAAGTAGAGTAGTGCAACCCTTATTAAGAACTGGGCATTATAAGCATAAATGATAAGAACAAATTTACTATTATAAGATAATAATGAAAGTTCAGCACACATAGGGACAAACTGAGACAAGCATGACAGAAAAGGGGAATATTCGAAGATTTAAATTAGCAAAAGGGAATGGAGATAAGGTACACACAGAAGAAAATGGACTACTATATAGATAACTACCCTCTACATATTTGTAATGGTAACCACATACCAAAGATTCAGAACTGGAATATATAACATAAAACAAGAAGAATCAGAAGGAAAATCCACAAAACCCAACCAGAAAAACAAAACAAAACAAAACAGAACAAAACACAACAAAACAAAAGAAAACAAAACAAACACAAGGACAAGGAAACAATGGAAACACCAACCTACCAGAGAGCAAAAAAATAAAATGGCTATAGGAAAACCTCATATTTCAATAATCACTCTAAATGTAAATGGACTGAACTCACCAATAAAAAGGCACAGACTTGCAGATTGGATCAAAAAGCAAAATCCAACCATATGCTGCCTCCAGGAGACACATCTCAGTTCCAAAGACAAATATAGACTCGAAGTGAAAGGGTAGAAATGATATTTCAAGCAAATGGGATTCAAAGAAAAGTGGAAGTGGCGGTACCAATATCAGATGAAATAGTCTTCAAAATAAAAAAGGTAAAGAAAGATACTGAAGGACACTTCATAATGATAAAGGGAGTTATACACCAAGAAGACATAATACTTATTAATATCTCTACTGCCAATTGGGGAGCCCCGAAATATGTAAAAAAATTACTAACAGAACTAAAGGGAGAAACAGATCAAAACACTATAGAAGGGGACCTAAATACACCACTGTTGGATATGGACAGATCATCCAAACAGAAAATCAGTAAGAAAATAACATCCTTAAATGACACATTAGACCAACTGGACATTTACAGAACCTTTCATCGCAAAATGATTATACATTCTTTTCTACTGCACATGGAACATTCTCAAGGATTGACCACATACTGGGACACAGAGATAGCCTCAACAAATATAAGATGGTTGAAATCATATTCTCTGAGCATAACGCTTTGAAGCTGAAGATCAACTGTAAAAAGTGGGAAGAACCACAAATATATGGTGATTAAACAACATGATATTGAAGAAGGACAGGGTCAAAGAAGAAATAAAAAGAGAGATCAAGAGATACATAGAAACGAATGATAATTATAGTACAACATATCAAAACTTTTGGGACATGACAAAAGTGGTAATAAGAGGAAAGTTCATATCATTACAGGACTACCTCAGAAAATAAGAATCAGCCCAAATAAACAACCTAATGATTCATCTTAGAAAACTAGAAAATGAAGAACAAATAAAGACTAAAGTCAGCAGAAGGAAAGAAATATTCAAAATTAGAGCAGAAATAGATGAAATTGAAAAAAAATAGAAAAAATAAATACAACAAAGAGCTTGTTCTTTGAGAAGGTTAATAAAATTGACAAACCTGTGGCTAGGCTCACTAAAGAAAAGAAAGAAAGGACATAAATAAACAAAATCAGGAATGAAAGAGGAGAAATTATGACAGACACCGCAGAAATACAAAGAATTATATAAGAATACTATGAAAAAGAATGTAATAACAAATTTAATAATCTAGAATAAATGGACAAGTACTAAGAAAGATACAACCTCCTAGACTGAATCAAGAAGAACTGGAAAATCTAAATAGACCGATCAGCAGTATGAAAATTGAAAAAATTATCCAAAAACTACCAAAAAGTAAAAGTCCAAGACCAGATAGCTTCACCAGTGAATTCTACCAAACATTCAAAGAAGATTTAACACCTATTCTCAAATTCTTACAAAAAATCGAAGAGGAGGCAATATTTTCTAACTCATTTTATGAGGCCAATATTACCCTGATACCAAAACCTGGTAAGGATAACACACACACACACACACACACACACACACACACACACACACACCCCCA